GTTAACCACACCATTAGCAGCTTCTCCATATTTTCATGGATAGATGTCTGCTGTTTAGAAATGATTTTAACGCCCTTGGCTGGAGTTGTAGCCTGTATCGACTCCTTCTGCTTCAGTATGCTGCAGATCGTAGAAGTGCTACGTTCGTACTGCTTCGCCAAGTCGATTACACGCACACCTTGGTCATGTTTTTTGATAATTTCTTTCTTTAATTCAATGCACATCATCCGCTTCTTCTTCTCAGCACTGTCCTTCGCACTTACTTTCTTCATATCCATGGTTGAAAAAACGAAGGTTTGCAAAATAACTGCAAGCACAAATGCGAGCACAACACTGATGCTTCAACTAAGAGCTAACTACCGCTTAAAGTGAACGAGTGAGACACGTGATGCTGGGCTGATGTGGCGTTCACTGTGACGTTTGCTGCGCCAACTAGCGGTGGGGTATCTGAAGCTGGCTCGTAACCCAAATTTTAGCTTGCAACTCAAAGCAAAAAATCAGCCAAGAGATGGCTCATATCTCGAAAACCTCGTTAGTCGGGACACTCGTAAGTCAAGGCCCCACTGTTAGAGAGAAGTAGCACAATATGCGTAGAGAAAAAAATGTCCATGATATATGTTCAGGGATAGTTATTATAGCAGTTTGGCTAGAAAAAAAGCTATGTGTATATTTTAAAATGCACAGAATATAAAGGAGCCAAATTAAAACCAATTAAATTTTGACTTTTTTCTTGTAATGTCTGTCCAGTACAAATCACTTCTAGTACAAAGCACTATAATAATATCCACATTTCAATGAAAGGGAATTAGAAAGTGAATTAAGAAAGTGAAACTTGTGTAGGAAAGTTCCAGCTAATTTCAATATAGAATTCCAAAGTTCTTAGTTAAAAGGAAGTAAGGCTCTTGTTAGGATGTAGGAGAATGCAAAACACCTTATGCTTCCATGGTAACAACAAGAAAAACCTGGACCAAATAAAAAACCTACCTTTCTATGGGGTTAGGGAAGAGTGCAGGATGCCAGTGAGCAGGAACCATTACATAATTAAACCAAGTGTAGGGCTGCCTAATCATGAGGCCCTGTGCAACTGCACAGGTGAAAAACCCATAAAGCTGCCTTACCTGGAAGCCTTAATGACCTGAAATTCAGAGAGAAATATGCCCTTTATAAGTGAGCATGATGCTGTTGCAGCTTCCTTACCCAGAAGTAAGCTCTGTGTTGGCTTGCCATGATTCAGTAATTTTGCAGAGACGAAGAGAAGTCAGGCTGGGCCTTAGGCGTCAGTGTGAGCTTAGGGAACAAACGGGAGTCTGAAAGACACCCAAATGCAAAAAATAAAACAAAATAAAATAAAAAAAATTACCCCACACCTCACTTCCAAATCTTGTTAAAAAAAAAAAAAAAGCAGCAACCATGGAGGAGGGCTGGGAAGTTAGAGCATCTACATAGGCCAATGCATTCTTATAATACTTGGGTTCCAAGGCCCCGACAGAGTTGACTCCAAAGGTGAACCAAAAATATTTAAAACTTCAGTCCAAATCCGTTCCAATGAAATACAAGATATAAGAGGTGGCTTTGAAGAGAGATGTTGGAGGTGGGTTAATCACAGGTGAACTCAATCTAATGAAAGCTGCAGCCAACATTAAAGCTTAATACAAGTATAGAAAGATTTCAAAGGAACAGCCTCTCACTCTAAATGCCAAGGTAAGAAAAAGGCTGTGCTCTCTTAGAACTAAATTAAACTTCAGTCTCCACACTTTTTCCACATAATGTCCAATACACAATAAAACAATTAAAAGACATATAAGAAGTAGGAAAATGGGACCCATAATCAAGAGAAAACAGTTAATACAAACCAATTCACTGAGAATGCAATTATTGTAATTAGCAGATAAGGATTTTAAAACAACTATTATAAATATGTTAAAGGTTTTACAATATATATTGGATTATAATATAGTTCATGAAAATAATGGTGTATTTCAAGAGAAACTGAAATTTTAAAAAGAAACTACTGAAAAATTTGGAATATTAATCATAAGAAAACTGGTGTGTCTATATTAATATCAGAAAAAGTAGACTTCAAGATAGGAATACAGTGGGGCCTTGACTTACGAGTGTCCCGACTAACGAGTTTTTTGAGATACCAGCTGTCTCTCGGCTGATTTTTTGCATTGAGTTGACAGAGTAATTTGAGTTAACGAGCTCCTTAACAAGCTCCTTAACGAGCTTGGTCTCGGAATGAATTAAACTCGTAAGTCAAGGCCCCACTGTATTACCATACCTAATTAAGCTTACTTCATATTGATAAAAGGCCAATTCATTCAGAAGACATATCAGTGCTAACATATCAGTACTAAATGTGTTTGCACCTAATAAAAGAGCTTCAAAATAAATGTAGCAAGAATTGATCAAATGAGAAATATTGTCAAAACCACAATTATATTTGGAGTTCTTAACACATCTCTCTGAGTAATTGATAAATAGGTACATACATAAATCAGTAAGGAGGTAATTTGAATATTATCAAGCAACTTAACCTAATTGACATTTATAGAACATATAGAACATACAACTGCAGAATACACAATCTTTTAAAGTAATGGAATAGGAAACATTCATCATGAAGCTATACCAAATTGTTTATGAGAAATATTGACCTGAAATTTTCTCTATTATAATGTCCTTGTTAAGATTTGGAATTAAGATTATTCTGGCCTAAAAAAAATAAAAATAAAAAGAGTTGGGTAATGTTTTTTTCTCTTCTCTGAAAGAATTTGGAAATCTGAAAGATCAATTCTATTTCTCCTTTAAATGTTTGATAGACCTTGCTGGTGATGCTACCTAAATCTGAAGTTAGGGAGGAGTTTTAAATTGAGATACTGTTATAGTATTAACTAGAGGCCTAGTGCAAAAAATTTGTGCACAGATAAGGTCCCTAGGCCTAGGCCTCACCAATCTGTGGGGCAACTGGTGGGGTGATAGGGGCCCCTTCTCACACCCATCTTGGCTTGGAGCCGCCCACTCACCCACTCGCCCTGCCCCCTGGTGGTCAGTGCACGTCTAAGTCCCGGTTGGTAGTACTCCTGTCCCTGGGGATAATTTGCATATTAGCCTTTTATTATATAGGACAGTGATGGCAAACCTATGACACACATGTCAGAGGTGACACGCGAACTCATTTTTTTTGGTTGATTTTTCTTTGTTAAATGGCATTTAAAAATATAAAATAAATAACAAAAATATAAGTCTTTGTTTTACTATGGTTGCAAATATCAAAAAATTTTTATATGTGACACGGCGCCAGAGTTAAGTTAGAGTTTTTCAAAATGCTGACACACCGAGCTCAAAAGGTTCGCCATCACTGATATAGGAGGAGGATTGTGTTCCTCCCCAACCCAATTCCTATGTGGAAACCCTATCCCCCAATGTGAGTATATTTGGCTATGTTGCCTCTGGGGAAGATATCAAGGTTAAATGAGGTCATAAGGGTGGAACCCTAATCCTATAAAGGTGTCCTTATAAGAAGAGGAAAAGATGCCAGAGAGATATTCCTCTCCCTGAATGCACAAAGGCCATGTGAGAACACAGTGAGAAGACAGCCATCTACAAGCTGGGAAGAGAGATCTCACAAGAAACCAACCCTGATGGCACTTTGATCTTGGATTTCTGGCCTCCACTCCACAACTATGAGAAAATAAATTTCTGTTATTTAAGTTATTTCTATTAATACCCAGTCCATAGTATTCTATTATGGTAGCTAGAGCAGACAAATACAGATAAAATTTCTCAAAATTAATATAGGATCATTCAAGAAGGCTATTTCCACTTATATCAGTTTCAGTAAATTGAGTTTTTCAAGAAAAATAAAAAGAAATGTCAAATAGTTTGACGTAAGTATTTGTTCTTATTATCCTCTTATTGTTTTTACTATCTGCAGGATGTTTCCTTTTTGATTCCTAATATTTGTACTTTGAGTTTTCTCTTTTTTTTCTTGGTCAGTCCCCCCAAGGACTTATCAATTTTATTAATCTTTTCAAAGAAGAAATTTTGGCCTTGTTGCTTTTCTCCAGTGGACATCTGTTTTTAATTTTATTGATTTCTGCTCTTATCTTCATTAGTGCCTTTATTCTATAGACATTTGAGAATATTCCAATGTAAAATGTGATCCTATTATGAAGCTATTTATTTGACAACCCCTGTTCAGGCACACTGAGCTTTCTATCACCATTTAATTCTCATTCTTCAATATGAATAGAAATCCAAGGACTACTTGATATTTAAGGAATAACTATAAAAATTTTAAAAAGATAAAAACAAAAACATAGAAATCAAAACAAATAACTGAAAATAAAATCTGAGAGGATAAAGATAATAGGAATACACGAAAACCTTTAAAATGTCTTTAAGATTCTTAGAAAGATACAAGGTAATATATCCCTGAAACCAAAATAGCATATTATAAAGCAAAAGAGAATTTTTAAAAAGTACAAATACAATGGTATTAATTAAATATTAAACAAAATGTTTGTGTGTGGGGGGCGGGTGGGAGGGTGGAACTGAAGAAATCTGGGAATAGAATTAAAAAGTTAAAGAAAAGAATTACAGGACAAAAGATAAGAATTTAGAGGATTATTCCAGCAAAATGATTTCAACCTAGAAATTTAAATATAGGCAGACTATCAAGTGTGTGACATTTTTCAGATCTGAAAAGTAGTAAAAAAAAAAAAATCACCATCTCTTCCTGTATTAGTTTCATATTGCTGCTATAACAAAGGAGCACAAACTTAGTCACTTAAAATAGCACAGGTTTATTATCTCACAGTTCTGGAAATCTGAGGTCTGAAACGGGTCTGCAGGGCTATGCTGCTTCTGGAGGCAGTAAGGGAGAATGTTTCCTTGCCTTTTCTAGTTTCTAGGAGTCACCTGCATTTCTTTACTCCTTAGCTCCTTCTTCCAACCTCAAAGCCAGCAATGCAGCATCTTCTCCTCTCTCTGTCCTCTGGTCTTCCTCTTATAAGGACACTTGTGATTATGCTTGGCCCACCCAGATATTCAGGGTAACTTCCCCATCTCAGGATCCTTAATTTAATTACATATGCAAGGTTCCTTTTGCCATAAGGATCTGGAGATTAGGATGTGGACATCTTTGGGGGTGGTCATTATGCTGTCTACCATACTCCCATTCATCTTTTCTCAGGAAGGTACTGGAAGATATGTTTCATAAAAACAAAGGACTAAACAAAGAAAAAGTAAACAAGGGATCCAACACAGGAGAGCAGTATTGGATCGTAAAAGCAACTAATACTGAATGAACTAGAGTTAGGACTATCTTGAGGATAAAAAATTAATCTTCTAGATTAACTGATGTGTTTGATTGTGACGTTTTAGCACTTTGGTAGAGTATTTGAGGGCAGATTACAAACGAGCGAGTATAAATATGGCATTTATTAAGATAAAGGAAAGTACCAGGTTGCATGGAAAGTTAACGTGGTGAGGGTTGACTGATACTTACAAATGTTGATTTGAACAAAAACTGTGATATTACTATACTGAGAGATGAGGGGATAAAAAGAGTCGGGGAGGGGGGAGATGAAAAGAAATGTTCCAACACTTAGGGATGGTGTGAAAAAAGAGCTTTGTCATTGACTTCCATAGGAGAAAGTCAATGAATAATGTCTGAGATTGAAAAATCAAGAAATTGCAGTATAACCATATTTTGAAATATGGAGTAAATAACAGAATATTTAAAAGACCTGAAAGAGTTTTCCTTTTGATAAAATTGAAAATAGAACGGAGAGGTTGGGAACCAGAGGGTTTTGGTTAAAGGCCTAGAATGTGGCAAACTGTTAATGCTCACCAATATATGTTTCTTTACATTTCTCAGGCTCCCTTGCAGTTATAGTAGCGGACTTGGGACTAAATTCTGGCCAATGAAATCTGGGAAAAGTGATATATGCATTTTTAGGGCTGATCTCTAAAACTTTTTGTGTGATTCACCAAGCTTTCTTTCTTGTCAGATAAGCTGTGGGCTCCAAGTCCTAGGGGAGAGCAGAACCACTAAAAAAAGAAAAAGAAACCTGTATCCTTAAGTCTAACATTTCATTTGACTAAAAACACCCATAATCAATTTCTTGTGAGACAAAGTTTATTGTATTAAACCACTGAAATTTGGGGGTTTTCTGTGATAGCAGTAAATTCACTATGTTGGTTTTAAAAAAATATATATGACCACAAATTCTTTGACAATCTTTAGAGAAGCAACTTCTATGTCCCTTCTCCTAAACTCTGGACAGGCCTTGTGATTCCTAACCAAAAGAATGTGAGAGAAGTGACACCATATTACCGTTTGAGGCTAGATCAAAAAAGGACATGTAGTTTCTGCCTTGTCCATTGCAACATTTGACTTTGGAGCACTGGGCCTACACTAGGAAGTCTCATTACCCTGCTGCCATGCTATGAGGAACCCCAGGCCACATGGAGAGACCACACATAGGAGCTCTGCTAGCATTCATGGTCTTCCCAGCTGAGTTATCGGAAAAAGCTGTCCTTCTGTGCCCTATTGAACACACAATTCATGAACATAATAAAATGGTTGTTTTAAGACACATATTTTGGAGTAACTTACTGCAGAGCAATAGTAACTCCAATTAATTAATCATATCATTTGTTTTGTAATCTGTGCACTTGAACTAAAGCAGTTAAAGAAGAAAAAAGATGTGAATTATTTATTCTTGGCTTGGAGACTTTCGTTATTGCTACTTCTCTTACCTAGAAAGTTCATCTTTCTCCCTAAAGCAGTGGCCTTCAAACTTTTTAAAGAAAAACACAAAATAAGAAATAGACTTTATAAACATGACCTAGTGTATGCAGGTGTATTATATAAATTGTGTGTGTGTGTGTGTGTGTGTGTGTATACACATACATAATTTGTGGGAAGCCACCGCTTGCCAATACTGTCATGAGCATGCACCAAGGAACGCGGGAGGCTGATGGACTTTGAGCGTTAGCAGGGCTGACGCTAGGCACCGACTGTTCATGTTGAGCTAGCGGTTGCCCGAAGCAACCTCCTGACCTGATAGCCTCCAAGTAAATGTTTACTGGACCTTACTGGTCTTTACTGACCTTTGAGACTGTCTGTCTGTATGTGCTTGCCGTGCTTTACTGAGGGCAAGATGTGTATCTAAAACTGAATAAAAAGCGGACTAGGCCAGGACTCGGTGTGTCTCTTCAGGAAAAGAGGTTCCACCTGGCCCCCAATGCCTCCTAAATGCACATTTCTTGAATAGCATTTTCATTTGTGCGTCGGCCCCTCCTTCAGATCCTGAGTCTCGCCCCGAAGGTTGTGGCAATAATTTAAAACTCCATAAAGCAATGCTTAACCTTACCAAGTGCCATGCACCAATATTTCCACATTATATTACTTCATTTTTTAAAGGCGCAGTTTTGGCTAAATAGATTTCCTTGCTTACACATAGGACCTCCACCAATGGGTCCCACACAATCCCCTTGACTAACACTACTCGAGACTGCAGTCATGCTTGAGCCAAAGGCCTTACTCAAGTCCAACCAAGGAGCCTTCATTGGCCAGTCCATTCTGAGCTGTTTTGAAATCCCTACAATTTATTAGTCATATTTTCTGTACTACCCATGCTTAACTTGATATGGTAAACTCCTCCAGGTCAAGGTTCTGTCCTGTATTTCACTTGCTGAATTCATAGGACACAATATCTAGCCCTTGTATTTCCAACTCTCAGTTGTTACCCACTTTTTAGGCTTGGATTGTCTTT